TAGAAGTATTTTAATTATTTTATCCAATGATTTGTCCGGAAAGCGTGAAAGGCACGACAATTTAGTGTGACGGACAGACAGATTGCTGCAGGTGATGTTTAAGATGGTGGCCTATATCATGACAAAAGCGCTTGCAGTGGTGAAATTCACACACACGCAAGGCTATGAAGGTCTTACCGATTGTGTCGAGCGACGACAACGTATCCAATGCATGGCTACAGCTACGACTTCTGCTACTGCGTTGACTACTGCTGCTGATGCGGAGGCTGACATTGAAGAAGACGAGGGCAATCGAGTGGGAGTGCTGCTACTGTGTGGACTGCTATTGTCTGTGTGCTTTTGGCTATGCTACTGCTAGGACTATGGCGGCAACGAGGATGCGCGAGTGTGATCGCGTCGACTTCCACGGGCGTCGCCGAGATCAAGTGGGAGTGTGAGCTGTGAGCTTACCTGCGTGTCGAGCACCAGTGCAATGCAGTCTGCAAGTATCTAGTGCCCCTGTCTATGAGCCACCGTTCACTGCCAGTGTCTGCAAGACACATCCCAAGGACACTCCTGCGCCTGGCAGTGCAGCTTGCGGCTACACTACAACCGGCTACACTGAGTACACATGCGTGTAATTGCGAAGGACTCTACCGAGGACTGTATGCACAAGGACATCGTTGGCTGTGCGCTGCCAAGATGTTGTACTCAACCAGAGTGCATTTATCAAGACTTTAGTATTGACCAATCTGCTACTTGTATACTAATCTACCTTTTGCGAAACAGCGGTGTTCTGGCGGAGGCTGCTCCCCACTTTGCGTTTTAACGCCTGCCGCTCATTCAAGAGCAGCAGAGAAGAGCAGCCTTACCAGACACCGCGGTCATGTCGCGGCCTTTTGCACGGCACATACGTGCTTACACATTTCCTTGATTACTTCTCTAAAGTTGACCTTAAGTGTATTTACATTTAAATGGCACCTACGCTTAGAAGCGATCGACACCTGGAAAACAATCCCCCAGTAACGAACCCTATGTCACCACTCTATCGACATTAATGTGATTTCTTCTGGTTTATCGGTGACTGAATTATAACGCTAAAACTAATTTTGACTTTCGCAAAGATTTGGGACACTCTGAATACGGGACATAATCACGATTAAATTGCCCCTAATTATCTCTCTCGATGGACATAGAGAATAAAGAATGGCGCAGTTGCTGGCTCCAGTGCGAGTGACGAGCGAGCGCCCGGACGATCGTCGGCATCACGTCTGGAACAACTGCTGGCTTATTCGCGAGTTTAAGATCTCGCAATGATTCAGGAAAGCCTTCTCGAGATGGAGGGGCACATGAGCAAGCTGGCGGTAGCTCGAGGCGAGCTTAAAGATATGGGCCAAGAAAACGAGTCGTCTAGCGAACTGACCTCCATGCTGTCCGAGTACACGTTGAAGGGCTGCAAGTACTGTGCTCACGATGTCGGTGTTTTTGGCCGAATGCTGCAAGATGTTGCAGGTGAAGTGAACCCCTCCCTCCTACCGTAGCTCTGGTAACACTGTTCTAAGGAAGGCGTTGCTTTTATGACGATGCTCATTGTTAGCGTCGCTAATATAACGTAGCCTATCGAATACTTTTGGTGTTTAATCATCATTGACAGTAAATAGCACTGGTGCGTCCTGTTAAAACGCCGACGACAGGCATTGATTACTGACTGCGTACGGTACAAAGTCCGATAGGGCAAATACCAAGATGTTCTCTTGGGACGTTCCGAGACACAATGCCAATGTTAAGCAATGTCGAGCTTGTCGGATGCTGTCGCAGCATTCAAAGCGCTCGCAAGCCTCAAGAATCCCAACTTCAATCCCGTCCGTCTCGAAATCAGTCAATGTCGTTAACCTTATGCATGAGGGCATCCTAGATTTGGCAAACACAACGGATGCAAATTGATATTCCAAACCAATGATAACGCAAGGTTGAAGTTGAATACAAGTGTAACCACCATTGTATTCACTTATATCCAGTTTTTTCAACTTCCTTTTGCGAAACACTTGACGCCAATCTGCATACGTTCTTCTATATCGGCTGGCCCTATAGGTACGACGCGTGAGCTCCATACTGTTATCCACAGTAACTTTAGCCGCGTCAGTTCAGCAGTGTATCTCGTTACAGCATCGGCGGCGAAGCAGCGCTCAATATAGATGAAAGAGTATGTACAGCAACTATGACACCGCAGCTGTATCCGTCCAACTGGGCGAAATACTTTAGATATTTAATGGCCACGTGTATTCTTCTCGCCGTATCCACAGTGAATGTCATGCACGGAGATATGGCAGCTAAGGATTAATCCATATTTTCCTCGTATCACATCTGTACGAAGCAGTCCATATAGGATCGTACATGTGCATCGTCATCGTCCCGTGGTGGTGCACGGCTATCTCAATGAGTGCTCAGTGGCATACGTAACTCGATGTTGGTGGACAGCTAGATTGATTTCATTAAGAAAAGCTATGATCTTGGAGAAAACGGGAGCTTCACGTCATCGGCCACAGACAACACTCGCCTATTTGATTGCCCTACCATTTACTCGAAGTGTACATTACTTTGTGTTAAGCTTGTGTTAGCATCTTGTGCGGAGGCACACTGTCTCAAACACTACACTAACTGGAGAGGCAGCATGGGCTAGCCTCCACTTTTTTTAAGGTGCTGTCTAGCTAGCTAAGCCGGTCCCGCCAGCGACAACAACCACCGGGCCCCCTGTAATCCTCATCAAGTCCTTGTTTATCTTATTCATGTCTCTTGATCTCCGAACTAAGGGTTTCGTGATGCTGTAAGACGTCGTTATGGTATATGCGCACGACTGTTGCATTAAACAAAATCGACTGTTACTCGCATCTAACGTTGGTAAGGAAACAATACTTTTGCTAAAGAAACTTTATTTCCGGCATGTGACTCTTATTGCACAACGTTATCTTGAAAAGGACTCGCACACTACTAAAGCCTAATAAACGCAGAGCTCATTTCGCGACATTCATCACGTTTACCGTCAGCCCTATTTGATATTTAATTACAGCGTAGTGAGACTTCGGGCCAGTTTTGCCGTTTCTGCTTTTGCGGTTTGATTGACGGTGGATGTGTATATTTAGTGTAGCTCTTCCTTCATTTTGCTAGGATAGTTTCAAGAATAAGCTCAGATCTGATCCATTCTTCTTCCTCGCTTTCTCTCTTGCGATTACTATATCTAATCGTTGTCTTGAGGCTCGGTGGAACACTATTCCCGGCGCCCAAATATCGTGCCATATCTGGAACCACGACGTGAGCGTGTTGCCGCTCTCAACGCGGCGAATGTGGCGGCAGAGCGGTACACGCCCACCAAAGGAATCGCCGCACTGCTGGCCGTAGAAGCTCAATTCGAGCGACTTTGATTTGGAGTCTGCAAAGGCGGAGCAGACTTTGCAAATGTACTGTCTCCGTTTGTGCTGCTTGCCGGAGTAGAATGCTCACTAGCGCGCGCTGGTGGCATAGTATTGGCACAGACAGCACGTCTTCGGTGATGGGGTGCATCTTGAAGTTGACAGTCCGTAGTGCAAGAAGCTGTTTGTGCAGACGACGCAAGTACTTAGCATGGGCTGGTGCTTCTTCTCCTTTTTTTCTAGAGCGTTAGGCAGTGAACGATATATCCATTGACGGCAGCCGTGCCTACTATGCGCAGGAGCAATTGCTTGTAGTACTTTCGCAGTGATATACACTTCTGTATGCTGTAATGCTTGAGCCGGAGCTGGTCGGGGTCGTCCACGCCACCCATATCAAGCCCATAGTCCGCGACCAGCCGTGGGCAGGGCACTGTGCTTCGCGTGCCATATTTTTCTAAGCGCAGAGCGATGGTGAGACGCGTACTGCAACCTGTAGCGATCTTGATCCGATGATTTGAATCCAATCAGCTCAATGTCACAAGCGGCGGGTGGTTACGCGCTTGAGCGAAACAATAAGTCCCTCTCGGCATTTGCTTCGGTCGCTTTTTGTGCGTGAAGTGCAGAGGACACTTGCCCAAGCGGCCAAGATGCGCTGCTCCCACAACAAGAAGCTTCAAGCTCAACGATACAGTCGACTAAAGGCTGTCCGTCACAAACAGTCGTTTCATTGGCTAGTCTATCAACGCCTTTGAGATGCTCCTCACAACAGTCTTTGGGCCCACTCCCAACGTCGCATCACGTGATTATTGTGATTGCTACCTTTTCGCCTCCACTCTACAATAGATTTTCACCGTAAGTTGTTCAAGTACAGAATACCATACGTACATATTAGTTAGTTCTGTATACTCCAGAATAGTAAATTCAGTGACATACGTAATAACAAGTCAAACATGGAGCAGTATGCTGTATCCGCACATCATAGCATGTAAAACTTGGTGCCGTACTTGCTGAGCTTGTGTGGCATAAAGACGCGCATCGGTTTGTACTTGCTGCGGTTTGTCATCATGCCTTCATCAAACGATATGGCCTCCCCAAGACGATGCCCACGCCGAAATGTTTTCTCAACTGCTTGCAGTACCGGCCGGTTTTCTCCCACGCCTTGCCCCCCCCCCCGTCCTCGTTGTCGCTGAATTAAAGAAATTTCATAATGCTCCGGAAGCAATCGCGCTTCATAAAGCGCGAGAACGTTCCATGTGGGATACCACATTCCTCGTCGGTACATTAATGTATCGAAAGGCCGTCTCGAATTGGAGCTACAGCTCAAGCCAAGAGCAGCGCAGCAATATGCACAATCTCATGAGATTGAATACGCTTGAACGTCTGCAAAGCTTCATCAAGATCCGTCACGTTGGGTACACTGTTGCGAGAATCATTGGTCTGTCGAGCAAGCAACTTGTTTCGTCGAGAAGTAGCGACGGCTTGGGTATATAGATCACGGTAGCGATCCGTCTCCTTGGCAATACGTATCCACAGTTCTTTTGGTAAGAAGGGTAAAACATGCCCGATGGTGAGTCTGCATAGGCAACAGCTGATATCGTGGGGTCAAACTGCCAGTCATCGCAGACAGTGGCAGCGTCGAGCTGGAGGTTGCCTACCAATGTCACCATACCGGATCATACATAATTAGTATCTACAATGCATAATATTCTGTATCATCCAGACTTACCGCTATGAGCTTCATCATACACCTTCCATTCATTCTTAGCGAGGTCGCGGGAGACAAGCATCTGTCGAGTCAAAAGGCTCTTCGTCGGGATCAGCTTCATTGATTTCCGCTGTCTTCCATTACGTCTTCATCATCCGCATTCGACTCTGAATCACTGAAATCTTCGTCGACCCCCATATTCACGTCGTCTTCAGCTGTCGGGCCTAACAAGCGCTCCTACCTGAGACCTTTCACGAAGCTGTCGCTATCAAACACGTCGAAATCAACACGATCTTGCACCTCCTCGCAGTCGCTCTTCCCTTCATCTTCATGGACCTCATTGCTCCGCGTGGTAGCTCCGCGTGGTAGCTCCGTATCATCCGGAATAGCGGTACCACCCACATCAACTTGCTCTGTATCATCCGTTGTAGAAGCTTGCACCATCTTTGAAGCGCTCACAGCCGCCTCAGTTGTCACATTTGTCTCTCCGTGAAGACTTGGAGCCGCGGCACTACACTTAAATGGCTCTGGTCTAGCTATCACAACCGGTAATGGAGAAGATGGTCTCGAAGCTGCTTTAACTGGTACTGAGACGCTAGGTGGTTGTTGTTCAATAGCTGTGTATGAGGCTTCCTTCCCAATCGGACCTCTTGCAGGTGCACGCACAGCGGATACACTTGGAGCTGCAAGGATTAGTAAGCCAGAAAGACAAGCGAGCGCTATGAGATCAACTTAATTTGAAAACCAAATCTATGTTAGCATCAAAGTTATTTTGTTAGGTCCCATGTGCTAATTCACCTTCAAAGAAGTCGATGCCACACCTTGACTTATCAAGACGACTTTGATGCCGGGCTTCACATAGCGATGATCCTTACCCATTCCCGAGGGCTTGCGCGCTATCCAGCCTTCCTTACATAGGTCACGCCACAGCTGCTTGAATGTCTTCTCTCCAGGCCTGGTCATAATTTATATAAATGGGGGGAGGGGGGGGGGGGTTCACACGCGGCCACGGTGGGCTCCCACAGGAATTTTCGAACCTGTACGGGTATATACTGTATTTCTTAACCAAGCGAAAGAGATTCCATCTTTATATCCTTCATCAATCCAAGCGGAATAATATGCATACCACCACCAATATAAACGTCCATATGCGAGATTAGGATCGGAGCTAAGTTTGCTGGATACTAGATTATGTCAGAATGCTTATTCTGTAGAATATAGAATACCGGCTTACAAATATGTTTATGATATTTAACCTGAAATTACCGCCCACCTTTGTGAAAAATGCAAAAGATGGTTTAGAAACATGTTCTAAAACGAAGACAAACGAGCCACAATCTGAATTTTCAGAATATGTTTGCACGTGTGACAAATGTTGACGATTCAGCGGTTATCCCAATGTCGTTTTTACTCATCTCTGACTAAAATGGACGTTAGGATGAAGGCATTCTTGCTATCGTTCATAAAAGGAGTGATATTCCGTTTGAGAGGAAATATTTATAATAATTTAAAGAGTTTTTAAATTTGCTGGCGTTTTGGTACTGTTAAACGACTCTTTGCGGGCATTTACCATAAATCTAAGCAGTTTTTAGTATTTCTTACTCTTAAGAAGATGTGAAGATCTAGTATCATAGCTACATGTATTGGTTCAAAGTCTTATTTTACTGGGAGCGTGGGATTTCAAGAATCAGTTATTCCGACAATACAATTCTGAGATTTTCTTGATACCCCAGTCATCCGATGTAGCACAACATCCAAGACTGTGATCCAAGGACATGTTTGGAGCATTGACGCCAGCATAACTGACTCATGTTTAATTTTATATAGGTTTTTGTATTGGGCCGATGGTGGCCGTAAATTGTGTCCAGCTTGACATACCTCTTTTTTGTATGTGAGCCTCCCTATAAAGTGCAAAAACGCGAGCGTTAGCACATCCTTGCTATTTTAAAGCATGTTTCGCAACTCCGATTGCGTCCCCAACTTGAAAACTGGTTCTTATTAACCATGGCAGTAGAGGCGTTGACAACGTATACAGAATGTCCAGTACTATTAATTTGCGTTTACACAAATAATGTTTGCAAGTTTTGCAAGCTCAATATGTACGGATACCGGAAGATACATGTACGGTACTGTAAGCAAAACCCATACAGTTCTTATACAACGACAGCACAACTCTCCCCACCTGCTAGTGATACTGTATGGTACATCTACAGATCGTTGCATGAAGATGCGGCTTGTGGCTCTGCGATGGAAAGTGTTTTTCTGCATCAACTAAGTTGCGAGAACATTCGCTATTACTGTCTTATCAATCATTCCATATTGCTAGGCAGCATAATGTACCCACTGGCTGTCAGTGCGGCTTTCGAAGAACTGCTTTAGAGTGTCCTTTTTCTGAGTGACAAAATCGTCCGTTCCCGATTCGTGTCGCACGTAATACAGTACACACGTGTTATTTATAATAGCCAGCATTGAAAGGCGACACACAAAATTCTTTGATTTTGTTGTCGTAACCCAGGGTTATGTTTGGTATTCGTCGTCTGGTGTTGTCTATGCAGAGAGCGACCGCTAGAAAAACGATTTCATCTTTAACCTCGTACAATTACCGTAGCAAACGCTATTAATTAATAGTAGTACAGTTCATGTATTTACGTTCTTCTCTATATTTCGTAGATTTCGAGCGAGGAGATGGTTAATGTCTGGAGCTGGAAGCTCTATAATAACAAAAAGTATTTGTGCTGTATTGTATGTGCGTGATGTTGCATTGACATGTGACCAGTATTATTGAATTATCGAGATGAAATTTGCCTGCTTTTAATGTGCCACCGTTCATTTTTTTGCCCATTTTTTACTACGAAAGCACACAATGAAAACAGCATAGTACATAGCTCACAGACAGATGCATCCACGCTTGGTCGACATAGGGAAAGCTCAAATAACAGCGGGAAATTGATGTTCATCCTGTGTGCACAGAACATTTATCATGATTTTAAAAGAGCGAAGAAACCTACAGCGACAAGCTTTACGTCAGAGTGTAGCTTGCGCTGCGGTGAGCCTATCTAACCATTCTTCCATACATAGGAACAGCTTCGATATTGCTGCACGCCGTGCTGGACTCACTGCCATCGACTCGCACACATGTATAGAAGTGTACTAAATCAAATACCGGTATGTAATTAACCATCTACCACTGATACATTAGAGCAAATCTGTTGTTTGATCCGGTGTAGAAAACCGGTCGGTTCATGGACAAGTCTGTATCCGAGCAGCCTCAAAATCGACCAAGGTGACCTTATGAACTTTCTGCAAAGGTAAGTGTAACATCTCCTATTATACAATGTACAACCTATAGGGCTACAGAAAAGGGCTACACGTGCAATCCAAGAGTTCCCGTTTATACTGTAGGGGTACAGAAGTCCCTCTCAATAAGTGTGGGTGATCGTCTGATCAACTTCCAAATGGATATTTCATCAACGTTGTGATATGTCAAATGTTCACCAAACTCATTGATCCGATATAAACGGGTATACGAAGATTAAGCTACCCTTATTTAGGGGACTTCTTGTTCTTTAATTACATTCGGTTTGATAAAACTGAATGCTGTCACCATCTCATGGATTGTTACCTAAGCAGGCTTGCTTTAAGGAGAACACATCTATTATTATAATATTGTAAATCTTTGATCTACTACACTCCTGGACACAATTATACGGCCATGCCCATAACTCTGTCACTTTTTATTATTTGACGTTCACAGTTTCAAGTGATCTGTCGCTGATCGACCAGAAAGTTCTGGCTGTACACTTGCTTATCACGCTGAGCATGTTCGAACGCTACCCTTCCAGAAGTCATACCCAAAAACGTCGAGCTAAAGATGCCGATGCAGTCGTCCGCTTTAAAATGTTGGTATCCTCTCGATGATGTAAGTTATGATTGTTGCCAAGCACTCTTTTTATGCGAGCATTTCCGTACTATTAATACAATGAACGGACCGTGCACTGCAATCCGAGAAACGGAGGGAATGTAGCAATTTCAATTGGTTTGTGCTGTCTGGTATACAAGCTTTCAATCTTGTAGCTCAATATTTTGCGATCTTGTTTTGCATGTATTAATAGTTGCTGCTTCCTGTCCGTATTATCTCGAATGGTTTTGCACAACACCCACCAGGACAGGGAAAGCGGCTCCCTATTTGTGTTGCCTTTTCACAACATTCACGCATGCGCGTGGTGCCATCGGACTATAGATAGCGTGGATTGCACATAGAAATCTGCCAGCACCATACGGGCAGAGCTTGAAGAACTATTAATTACCGCACAATAGTTTCTATTGGACTCACGAGGCTTAGTCTGAGATTCAAAACTTTACAAGTCATGAAGTACCATTCGTTATGTCCATGATGCCGTCCTCCTCTTACAAAATTTGTAAAAAACAACTTTCGAATACCAATCTCATTCGTTTTATTATTGGTTAGAGGGCTAGCGCTTTACACAGGTGCTCCTTTTACCTATCCTTTTCGATTATCGCAGATTGTTCAAGAGTCCGAACGTCATTTCTCATTTCGCAGTCCAGACAGCAGAGCTCGAGTAATTTTTTACTGATTCGGATGAACTTCAGCACTCTTCGTCCACCAAACTACCGATTCCTCAGTGACAGCATCATCGGTAATGTCGAACAGCGCAGAAGACCCAGCAGGGACCTCCCAACCGATGATTATAGAAACGCTAAGGCCTACGCAGACTATTTTCAGCCGCGACAATCGTCGTGGTCTTCTGAGCGTGCACGTGTGCCGAGGGCAGTAGACAGAACGAGCTCTACATCTGCTCCAGCGGTCATCCCCGAGCGCGATGCCGTTGCCGTGCTCGGCCTGCTCTCGTTGACGAGCGGAACGAAGCGGAAGAGAGTTGAGTCGCCAGTTGTGTCGAGCCGAAAGCTCCAGTGCGCACCTGTGGAGCCAAGTACGCCACAGCCAGAAACAGACACAGAGTCGTTGAACAGCGAGAAGCTCGAATCCACTGCGAAGTGGCACGAGGAGCAGCAAGTGCGTAGAGAGAAACAGGTTGACTTCATGCAGGACGACCGTATCAGTCACCTTCAGAAACAGACGCTTAAGTTGCGCGAAGAGATTGAGACGGTTGAGTATCGACGACGTGAGATCGCAGCGCTGCCAGCTCGTCAGAATGGCTGGGACGTGGCTGTCGAGTACTTTAAGCTCTTCCGCTACGGTCTCCAGTCGAGAAAACGCTCTAGCGTCATCAAACACAGTGACGAACAGTTGGATTTCCTACGTAGAACGATGAGCCCAGACGTGTTACTTAATACCGGACAGGGCCACAACGCCATGCTGAGAAGCTGGAAGTGCATGTCCCTGTGGTTCCAAGACGTCGAAGTGACACTCGAAGGCTTGGACAGGAGTGCGGCAGGGTCACTAGAAGCCATCACAAAGACCAGCGTCACGATCACAGAGCGAACACTTCGCAACGCCTTCCCTCGCTTGGTCAGCAAGGATGGCGCACACTTCGAGCTCGCCCAGCAGCTTCGAGGGCGACGCATCGTCATGCGCGGCCTGACACACTTTGAGTGGGATAGTGGGCGTCGCTGCTTCACCAGTGTCATGACTCACTCGGATCTGCTAGCTCCAATGCTGCATCTATTGGGCAACGTGGAGGACGTGGCGCAAGTATTCGAGAGGTCTACAATCACTCCGGACTTCCAGTGGAGGTCAATGGTATAAAAGCTGTAGTAAACATGTAGGAAAATTATGTATAAGTAATTTGCTAGACAAACTTGATTTCTTGCGTGGAGCCATGTAATCGTTTAAAAAAACTTAATCACGGGAAGTGTGTTTTCTGTTGCAGCTTGCGGCTGCACATCAACCGGCTACACTGAGTACACATGCGTGCAATGGCGAAGGACTATACCAAGGACTGTATGCACAAGGACATCGTTGGCTGTGCGCTGCCAAGATGGTGTACTCAAACGAGAGTGCATTTATCTAGAGTTTAGTATTGACTTATTTGCTATTTGTATTTTTGCGGTACAGCGGTGTTCTGGCGGAGGCTGCTCAACACTTTGCGTTTTGACGCCTGCCGCTCACCAGAGAGCAGCAGAGAAGAGCAGCCTCGCCAGACACCGCAGTCCTGTCGCGGCCTTTTGCCCGGCACTTACGTGCTTACGTTACTTCCTGATTAGTTTTCTAAAGTTGACATTTAAGTGTATTTACATTTAAATGGCTCCTACTCTTAGAAGCGATCGACACATGGAGAGCAATCCCCCCCGTGACGAACCCTACGTCACCACTGGTTATGAGCCCAATCAGGGCGCAGTCTGCGACTGACGTGGCTGCTGGCGTTCCAGACACAAGTTCTGGAATTCCGACCAATCAAGATTAAGCTTCAACCCCATTGGCAGGAAATTCAAGCTTGAACAATGACGCAACACTGTCGCACAGTGATGCAGAACGACTAATTCGTTCATTGGCGGGAATCCCGGGTGGCCGCCCGTTATTCCAAATGTTACTCGAAAGTATGCATAAACTTTCGTCGACGAACACGGAAGAATCCGTGCCAGTTGACAATCCTCCCCAGTCGCCGCTAAACCAACAAAACGGCGACCGAGACCCCGACGATCCGTGGCGCCCTCTAGACAACATGAACCCTACTGGTCGCTACAACGACGGCGAGCTGGCTGAGTACACCAAGGTCCTTATCAACTCGCCTCCGATCAAGCTGCCCAAGCTCCATCTGAAGGGCGACTACAAAGCCTGGAAGAGCGAGGTGCCGTTGCACTTCGAGCCGAAGATGCTGGGAGACATCACCTATGGCCCTGAGCGCTACGATGCAGTAGAAGGCATGCGTCGTGACAAATATCGCGTGTGGTACAAGTCGCGCAAGAACAAGGCGTTCTCAGCACTTGCGTTGTCGCTGTCTGTACGACGTTCAAGATCGACGACATCCACGACAACATGGACGCCGCCGCTATGCTCTACGATGCGATTACGCAGCACTTTGAGGCTGGAGATGGCATTAATCCTGATTACCTACGGCAAGAGCTAGTGACGCGCCGGATCAAGCCAAACGAGTCGGTATCGCAGTATGCTGACGACATTGCGAAGAAGGTGACACTTCTACATCAAGCTAATGGTGAGTTTGCTGAGTGGCAACATGCAAGCCTACTACTGTCGAACAGCGTGGAAGCATTTAAAGATCTCGCCCGTGAGCACGGCGATTGGCTTAACAACCATGATCGTAAGACACTTACACTTGCTGAAGCTTTACAACGACTACGCGCTGCTGAACACCAGCGTGACCAGCTGCGTGCACAGACCAGACAGCCGGTCGTGCATTCAATGCAAGTTGCTCATGTCGGAACGGACCAAGGACAAGGTCAAGCCCGAGGACGCAAGCGCAACAAGCAACAGCGCAAGCGATCCAAGGGCGTTGCAGATAAGAAGCAGCGCACAAACTGCGCGAGCTGTCAAGGAAAAGGACATTGGTATGCCAAGTGTACTGCTCTCACTGGCCAGCAACGGAAGCCAGAGCTCGCGAGAAAGCTGCAAGAGAGACAACCAAGGGCTCCCGTGTCGCTGGTGAACTCCGTACGTCGTGTGGATGCGGTAGCGTTGGAAGAAGATGGCCAAGGACTGTTTGCTGGCCTATCACTATGCGATGCGAATGCGATTGACCTCACGGATGGTGCTGCCCTATCGCCTACGGCTACGCAATCACCTGCATGGTCACTAACGTCTCCTGCGAAATGTGAAGAAGGAGGAGAGCGTCGTGTTGTTGAAGGGGCGCGGGCAAGTACGCAACGCACTCAATCGTCGGTTGCGCAAGCAACGCAGCGACTGCAGCTGCAAGTTGGAGTTCCTGTTCAACACATACAAGTTGGAGGACAAGGACTACAACAACGACAATCAACCTCACTGCCTACACTGCAAGCACCAGCTGTAGCTGTACAAACTGCCATACAATCTGCGGTACAACCTGAAGTGCAACCTACTGGACAACCTGCTGTTCAACAGGGTGTACAAGCTACTGTACTGCAAAACATGCAACCTACTGTATCGAGTACTGCGCAGACTCAGTGGGAGGGCAATCAGTCTACAGCTGGATTGGTGCCTACGTGGGAACCAGTCATCTACTACTTGGGGAAAGGACTGTCGAGTAACTCGAAAGGGCCTACACTTGAGCCATGGCGCAATCAAGCTGAACCACAAGGGGGTTCGGCTGTGCCGGGGGATAGCTGTCGAGGTCCTGATGTCGGGTTTAACTAGACGCCAAGAACCAGGGATGTGCAATGATTACAGACCTAACTTGGGGAGCGCGTACGAGAGAGGACTCTGGAGTCAAGATGTTGGACACTTTGACCCTTCTATTCAAGGACGAGGACGTAATCGTTCACCACCCCGATTCTTCAATCGAGAACGAACTCCACCAAGAGAAAGAGGCCGTTCTCCGTCAATGCGAGGACGTGAACCAAGAGGGAATCCAGGGCGCTATCGATCTCCACCGCGTCAGCAGCAGTGGCGTAACGAGAGACCGAGTCGCTATGAGCCGCCACCCCAACACGATGATCGACTGCGTCGCTATGGACCGTCGTCTCCGCAGCAGCAGTGGCGTGACAATCCTTTGCGAGGACGAGGACCTTCACCTCGACGTGACAACTACCAAGGGCGGAACATGTCTCCACGTCGATTTGAAGACCGTCGTGGCAACAGACCTTCTGCCTCTCGTCAAGTCAACGCTGTGAACCAGAACCAAGGTATGCAATCAGCTCAGTCTGAGTTTGTGGAGTGGATACTTGACTCAGGATCCCAGGTAAATGTCTGTGGTGACCTGGCATTGTTTACTACCATAAGGGAAGACCAAGCCAGTCGACTTGACCTTGCGAATGGCACAACTGAACACACTTCTGTTTGTGGGTCTGTGCTATTGCGTACTGTTAATCAGGCAACTGACCAGCTCGAGGACCGTCTCCTGGACGACGTGGTGTACACACCGAACGCGAAGGTAAACATCATTTGTCTGGGCTACCTACAGATGAAGGGCAGCTTCAAGTTGACATGCTCAGATGATCAACAGACCGCTTGAATCTCCAAGCCAAGCACAATACTCAAGTTCATGATGCGTGACAGTATTTACCGACTACGTGCAGAGCGAGTGACTGGAGCGATGGTGATGGCAGCTCTAAAAGAGGACATGGACAGCAAGAAAGCCATGGAGCTGCTTTATCAGCGATTTGGTCATATGAGCATGGAGACGGTGAAAGTGTTGGCAAACAAACTCGATGTTGGAGTTAAGATGAATCAGAAGGTCTGACTTCGTACGAGTGCGTTGATTGTGCTGCCAGTAAGGCGGTAAGAATGTCTTATAAACGGATTCCATCACGGAGGTCCGAACTTTTGGAGACTCATGATGGACATTTGGTCTGTGAACGAACAGTCTGTGGATGGAGCTACTATGAATCTCTTCAATATAGACGAGTCTACAAGGTAAAAGTGACCGTTCCTACTTAGGAAGAAGAGTGAAGCAGCGCTTCACATCAAAGTCCTATTGAACAGGCTGCAAACTCGCTTTTCTGAGCAGAAGGTGCGACGACTTCACTATGACCAAGGAGGCGAATTTGCAAGCAAGGAGCTAAGTGACTACTGCATTGACAAAGGGATTGAGCAGCAGTTTACAAACGCCTACTCTCCTCGAGAGAACGGCATTGTATAACGTGCTAACGGCGTGGTTTTACCAAGGATTAGAGCAATGCTGATGGCCACACACATGCCCAGCTCCTTAAGGGGAGAAGCCTTTCTGCATGTGGTGACGACGTTGAACTGGTTGCCCACCAAGCCCTTAGAATTGGTGTCCCCGCACCAGAAACTGTACGAATTGGAGCCCATGCTGGATGATTTGCGTACTTGGGGCTGTCTGGCACACGTGCGTGTCCCCCTGAGTCAAGACAAGCGAAAGAGAAGCTGGAAGCAAGAACAAGACTGTGTTTATTACTGGGTTATAGCGAATCGACCCTAGGCTACAAGTTCATTGACCTGGTGGCAGCTCAAGTGGTGACAGCTCGTAGTGGGAATGTGAAGTTCCATGAAAAATTCACGACCGATGGCATCTACATGAAGCATCTATTAGAGAACGCATTCTTTGATGGTGATCATACTCTACTCGAGACTGTACCTGTGGCGCGCATCAAGACCAACATGGAGACGTACCTTCCAGGTTGGAGTGACGGCATCTCTAGTGCGGAGAAGCCACTTGAGGCGGTACCACTTGCTGACAAACCTGCAGAAACTGAGTTAAGTTCAAGTGGGAGTTTGTCAATCGTTGACGCACCTGTGAGCAAGGACAGTGCGGAGACTGCTGGTGTTGCAGCACCATCCGTGTTGCAGGATCCTGCTGAAGAAACCGAGGATAGTTTGGAAGTGAGGAAGCGCAAGAGACGCAGAACAAAGAAGAAACCTGCAATGGTGGAGAAGGAGACAAGTGGCTTCGAGATTCAACCTCCATCAAGAGAGCCCTGCCTAAAGCGACCAAGAAGGAAGCAGAAGGCGAACGTTCGATTGTCGGATTACGTGGTAGGCCTGGTGCAGGCTATGACTACGGATGTGCAGATTCCGACGACGTACAAACAAGCACGTGCAAGCAAGTACTGGCAGCAGTGGAGAGCTGCAATGTTGGTGGAACTTCAATCGTTGAAGGGTCACAAGACCTGGAAACTTGTACCCCGCAAAGATGCCAAGAAAGTGAAGGTGATAACATGTAGGTGGGTATTTGCTGTGAAGCGAGATGAGCGTGGACGAATCAAACGATTCAAAGCGCGACTAGTGATCCATGGGTTCAAACAACAACTTGGGATTAACTACTCTGAGGCCTATGCACCTGTGATCCGGTTCGAAACCATACGTGCGGCTATCTACTACGCTGTACAAAGAGGTTGGGAGGTGTTGCAATTCGACGTGAAGACGGCTTTTCTGTATGGAGACTTGGACGAGACTATC